TAAAATATTAAATTCTTAATATTTATTGTGAATTTAGAATAAACATCAACATTTTTACATTAGCTGTTTACTTGCTTACAAAACCTAAAAGATAACATCAGAAATAAAAACTTATGTGAACTACAATGAAAATAACTTTAGAACTTTACTGGAAAAACAATCTTTTCTTCAGTGGTCACACCCAAGCCAGTCCTCACTCATGAAAATTGCATGTTCCATATGCAAGTATCCCTTACACTGTTAGTATGTATGTTTTGTTTACCTGTCCTTTCTTGTAGGGTACAGTTGACATCTTTTTCATTTTCCTATTATTATAGTAAGCCTTTAGGATGCTGCACCTGCCTGTTCACTGTTAATGTTTTGCTCCATGTTTTTTTTGTGTAGTTCCCTGGGCAGAAACATTTTGTTTTCCGTCCATTGTAAATGATCTCTTAGTTCCAGTTAGGAGTTCCAGTCCTAATCCTTTATGAACATTTCTCCATGATATTTTTCATTTGTTATTTTCATTGTAAACTATCAACTCTTTATGCCATATGTTTAGGATTGAATAAAACATGACCACTGGTAATCCGTTGTGTTTTGAGTGACATCATAGTTGCTGCATAACTCATCAACAACATCTATTCCACCTTTGTATTTGTTGTGGAAAGTTTTCATCTCAGGCTTCTGTTTTGTTGATGTTTCCCTATCAATATTTCCATCATGTAATGTTGACATCAGCAGTACCAGTTTGTTTTTCTTTGCCATATACAAAGCCAATGTAAATCTTTCTGAAATTCAAAGATTCTCTCTTTTGAAATTGCAACATTTCAGTTGGAATTTCTCCTTTGTTCTTGTATATAGTTCCTACATTGGTCGACTTGTGCTCTCTTAGCAAATATAAGATTGATTGGAAACTAGTGAACCAATTGTTGAATGTCACATTGTGATTATTTTGGAAGACAGGAGCAACATCTGTTCACAGCATTATTTGGTTTATTAGTATGTGAATAAAGACCTGGATTTCCAGGGTAAATTTCTAAATTGAAAGCATAATAAGTTCACATCTGCAAGGGCATAAATTTTTATGCCATATTTTGAAGGTTTTTGTTTTTTTTTGGCTTTTGATATGTACTACCTGAAGCTGCATTGGCTATGAACTACTGCTAGATGTTTATCATTAGTCATGTTTTCAGATGGTATGTAACTTGCTTGGCAGTTACTCTCAGATCTGTCAGACAATGACAGATTATCAGTTCTTTTTCTTTCTTGGTGACTGGTTTTGTCATCAAACCTCAGGCAGTTTTGAAGGAAACCAAATCTCAGTGTCATTGTTATTCTACAAACCTCAAGCCTATACCCATTGCTTTTCCATAAGTTATTTTCATTCCTGCAATTACCACATGAAAGCCCTCCTAAGTACAGCAGAACTATGAATGGTTTCAGTTCAGCCAGTGAGGTGTCATAATAAATACATTTCTGAGTATGGCTATTTATCCATAAGAACATTTTATTTGTATTCCAGCCTTTGGTATTTTACAGCATCTTGTAGCATTTCTTCTGCTGCAGTTTCCAACACTGACTGGCAGTGTTTCTATTTTTTTTTTTTTTTTTTTTTTTTTTTTTTTTTTTTTTTTTGCTTCTATTTTTTTTTTTTTATTGAGTTTATTGGTACATTTAGGGATACAGTACAGTTACATTCATTGTTGGGATCATGTACCTTTACATGGCAAGTCTTGATTCTCATTTTTTTCCCCTTACCTCTGCCCTCCCTTCACCCCCTCCTCCCCTCCCCATCTACAAACACTTTATTTTCATCTTTTCATTCTCTCACATTTTTTTCTTTTCCCTTTTTGTTCTTCCCCTACGTATCACACCTTCCCTACTCCTTTAGCTCCTTTCCTCCCATTTCTAAATGTCAGTAATCTTATTAGAATCTTATGCATTGTTGCAGAATATTCACACCAGGGAAACTATTTGGTATTTACACATGTGGGACTTATTTATATCACTTAGGAGTATATCTTCAATATGTATCCATTTTCCTATGAATGAATCTATTCTCTCACTCTTTATGGCTGAGTAATATTCCATTTTATAGAAAAACCACAACTTCTTTATCCAGTTTCCAACGGATGGGCAAATAGGTTGTTTCCAAGATTTAGCTATTATAAACTGTGCCGCTATAAACATGGGTGCGCATACTTCTCTGTGATATGATTCTTTCAGTTCTCTTGGAAAGATACCCAACAGAGGGATGGCTGGGTCAAATGGAACCTCCAGTCCAAGCTCTTTGAGGTATCTCCATATTGATTTCCATAGTGGTTGCACTAGTCTGCACTCCCACCAACAATGGAGGAGGGTTCCTTTCTCCCCACAACCCCGCCAACATTTGTTATTGTGTGATTTCTTGAGAGCAGCCATTCTTTGTGGGGTGAGGTGGAATCTCAGTGTTGTTTTCATCTGCATCTCTCGAATGACCAGTGATGTGGAACATTTTTTCATATATTTTCTTGCTGCTTTTACTTCTTTGTATGAGAAATGTCTGTTCATTTCGGATGCCCATTTTTGGATCGGGTCTTTATATTTGGGGGGACTGATTGTTTTGAGTTCTTTATATATCCTTGATAATAGTCCTTTGTCTGAGGTACAGCTGGTAAAAATTTTTTCCCACATTGTAGATTGTCTCTTAGTTCTGGCAGTGTTGACATTCTGTCCAGTAGGTTTCATCCCTGCCAAGATCCTCACTATATTTTTGGACTTAGTTCTAACATTGAACACAACTGTTTGGTTGTGTGACCATTTTGCAACATTTCAACTAGTCAATTATGCACTGTTTTCTTCATCATCTGAATCAAAGAAGTCTGCATACCCTATGTCTGTATCAGTTGATTCTTGCTCCATTTTATTAACACTGAATTTGGCTCACCTGGCCAATGTTAGAGTCATCATATCATCATCATACACCCATACCACTGTTCTGTTATAAAAACATGTATTTTACCATAATGTATGATCTTCATCATCCATGCATAAGTAATCTGATGGTTCACTTTTAATCTCCAAAATTTGCAAATCTGATTTTTCATGTGGCATTCTATTGAATTCTACCAGAAAAATCAAAAGAAAACTTTTTAAAAAAACAAATCCTAAGCTGGGTGTTGGTTGCGCATGCCTGTAATCCCAGCCCTCGGGAGGCTGAGGCAGGAGGATCACTGAGTTCGAGATCAGCCTGGACTAAATAGTGAGTTCCAGGTCAATCTCAACTACATAGTGAGACCCTGTCTCAAAAAAACAAAACAAAACAAATCCTAGAATAGTGTGAGTTTATTGTACTTTCTGTGATGCTCAGGTAAACATATACATAACCTGTTAGAGCATAATGTGTGTAAAAATTTCAGTTTGAAACTTTTGCACACATGCACACACCTTGCCATTTGTCATACCAAGTGGGTAAATACAGATTGCTTCCTCTGTGCCTCCGGGAAAGGCACTGACATGCACAGCCAGCTACTATTACACTAAACTAAAGATTTACATCCCTTACTTTTGTAAGGGGTATGTTTGTGAAACCCAGTGCCATGCCCCACCCATTAATTGGAGAATTAAATACATTTATACAAGTCTACTTTCCCTTCACTGCAACACAATACCTGACACCCACAAACTGAAAGGAGGATAGGTTTAATTTAGTTTATGGTTTTAAGGGATTCAGTCTGTTTCCTGTTGGCTCCAAGGGAGAAACAACATGGACTGGTGTGGTAAAGCAATAATACTTAAGCCAGCCAGGAAGCAGAGCAGTCAGTTGAATAGTGTCAGAAAGAAAGGTGTCAGGGACCATATATAGTACTTAAGGTCATGCCTCCATGATCCAACCAAACACACACCCAGAATTGTGTTTTAGTAATATACATAGCTCCCAAGCCAAATTTACAATTAAATTTAACCATCTCAGCAATTATTGATAAGGTCTTAGTACAACTATTAATGTAACTTGTTTTCTAGTTTTGTTGTACTTTCTTTTTCTATCATAATCTTCCTTGGGAGTTAAGTGAATTACTCTAATAGTGTGATTTGGTTCCTTGATCATTACTTTGAGTTTGTCTCTCTTAGGTTTTTGCTTTGTAGTTACCATTAAGGTTTAAAAAAAATCTTTTGATTATAACAAGCTATTTTCAAAGTATACCAATTGATTTTCTTAGCTCTCGATCTAGTAGTTTGCTACACAAGCTGTTAACTTTCCATGCCTATGGAGTAAAATTGCTGGAGGATCTTACCCAGTTGTCATCTTGCTGCATGCTTTCTATTTGGATCATCTTGAACATGAAATGTTTCCTCAAAGTGCTTGAAGATAATTGTTTGTTATTTTTTAAAGTATAAAGTGATTTCCTCTGCTTTCAAAAACTAGTTGTATTTTTATGGTTCATATGTCACTTATGTGTAAAATATCTACAATACCATTCACTTTCTTAAGACTGTGTATCCTAGATACAGATTTTGGAAGACATTTATTTGGTGTCTTAAGAAATCTGTAATATTGTAGATTATATTTTACTCGTGTTCTCCTTATCACAACTTAATGCAGTGAGTATTAGAATCAGTATCTTTCGTTTTTACCTGTTATCCTCACAGACTGCTACCTAAAGGATAGCCTAACTTTATGTTGAGGTGGTTTGATAGGATAATCATGGAGTGAAGCCAAGCATATAAGGGGCCTCTTAGTGTCTTTAAATTGTATCTAACATATCCAGAGCATCCTAGAATTATTGTGAAGTTGGGATAGTACACCATTCAGTGCTCTGTGCCTGCCTGGCACATGACAGTCCCTCTTTCCTCATCTGCTGGTGGGAAGGTAGTTGTGTGTGACACACATGTCTTAATGTTGTGGTTTCTTTTCTTCTTGAATAATATCACTTTACCAGCTATCTGTCGCTGGCAGTTTTGTCCTGTTTCAAACGTTTGATTTCATGCCAATAAGTTTATTTATTTATAAAGTAAACTATTGGATTTGTTCTCACCAGTGATACCAAGAAGAAGCAGGGAATGAAGAAAAGGAACAGCGAAGTAGAAGCCATGGGACCAACAAGTCACCATAGAAAGAAGGCCAAGTGGGAAACCTTAGAGCCTTTGGATACAGGCCTGTCTTTAGCAGAGGATGAAGAACTGGTGTTACATCTGCTCAGAAGTCAAAGCTAAATACTTCCGGCTGCTGTCTGCTCCTTGGTACCTCTGGGTAGTACTTTGTGGGCAAGAAGTTACAAAATAATAATAAAAGACTGATGTTAGTGCACTTAAGTGTACACTGTGTTCTATTCCCAAACGACATATTCTCCAGACAGAAACAATCACATTTCCGAGCCTCTTTTCACAGATCACACTCTGCATCATCATGGAAGAGGATACTCCGAGTCAGGACAGGTTACAGTTTCCTGATCCCATTTCGTAGTATGTGCTGTTAGATTTTATCTGTGAGTTTCTACTCCTCCCTATTACTGGAAGTGCTTCCCTTTTTTGTTTTTGTTTCTTGTTTTTGCAGTGCTGAGGATTGAATTCATAACCTTGTATGTGCTTGGCAAGCACTGCAAGAACTACATCTTCAGCCCCTCCTCCTGTGTTTCAGTGGCAAATTCTGAAGTACTCACTTTGTTATTGGAAATTCAGACATTTTGGTGTTACTTTTGGAATGGGTAATAATTTTGATGTATATTTTATATCTTCACAGATACCGGCCCTGAGAAAGACGAGTATTTTTTCATTGAAAAGATCAATAATAACATATTTCCCATAAAGTATGAATGTGTTAATTGTGTTCAGTAATATAAGAGCGCCCTAATGGGAAGGTTCCTGAAATTAAAACATATGGCCAATTCCCGAAACAGTGATTTTTTTCATATTGTTAAATTAGTCAAACGTCATATCATTTCACTCTTAATATAGATTTGCTAACAATCATTTCTAATCTCTGAAAGTTCTCCAACTTGAACTCATGAACACAGAGAGGCCTGTAGCTCTTCTGCAAGGTTCTCTGTTCATTGAGTGCCATCAATCTGCACCCAAACTCAGCTACTGATAATGAAGAAAAAGTAAATTTGTTACAAATAATTGAAAGATTATTCAGAGGGAAAGAGTACAGTGAAGAAATCTAGGCCTTGGTATGAAATTACTGTTTGAAACATAGATTCTCATTCTCTCACAGCTCTGTTCCTTATGTCTTTCCCTACCCCTTGCACAAACAAAAATAGCTTGCAGTAGTATGTGTAAACTCAGTCATGAATCCAAGAAGAGTGTTGAGGTCATTAGACCTGATTATCTCAAACACTTTCAGCTCAGCCTGTCTACTTCTCTTGTATTCATTATCCTCATGAGAAGCACCAACATCTTTCCACTATCAAAATGAGAAACTTGATGACTACCTTAGCTTTTTCCTTTTCTCAGTCTGTTCTTTACTGGATCATATTCTCCAACCTAACCTTTCTAGGAATTTTCTTTAAAGCCAATGAATCTAAACATGTTTCTTCCTGGCTATTTCTTCTGTTAAAATGCTTTTCATGTGATATTATAGAAATTTGTTTATGAGACTCTTGTTCCTATTATATGACAAGCTTCTTGAGAGCACAAGGACCATGTTTTGTTCAGCGTATGTATCCCCAGGGCCACATACAGCACCTGCCCTGTATTTGGCTTAGCTAATTAATGAGTAGCAAGTACTAAGCTAAGATAAATTTTAAAGCTGTATTATAGCACATTGCTCTTTCACTTCTGTTAGAAAGGAAAGAGTGATGGGTCTGAAAACTAGATGGAATGGCTATTATGGGAAAGAAAGGGGTAAATAGATGGGAAAGGATTTGGGATTATAACAACTTGGGAAGATTTTGAAATTGTAGTTTCTGATAGAGTCTCTTGGCCTTGAATGATTTTAAAGATCATAAAGTTGCAAGAATGTGTAAACTGCAGGTTTATCATTGAATTTACTGTATATAGTCTTAGATTGCTTTTACTGACACAAGTAAATAATTGAGGTAGTTTATTCCCTGTATGCAAATGTTGAATAAATATATTACAAGGGCTTTAGTTTGAGATGTATTCTTTCCCTGGAGCTGAAGAGATCCTGACTAAACCATTATAGATCATTTTAATTTGCTGATTTTTAAAAAAGTAGTTAAAATATCAGAATAGTGCTAATAGAAAAATCAGGTAATAAATACATATTTAAATAGTCTACATTAGCTGCTATTCTTGGTACTAATATTTTTGCCCTGTGTGGGAATAGGGTGGTAAGAGGTTCTGTCATTACCTCAGAGGCAGTCCAAACCTGACTAGCTGTCATGGCCCCTCCTGAGTGCAGATTGACCCAGAAGTGGATATACTACTCAGACTCCTTCCTTGTGTAAGCTATACAGAAAATGAAAGAGAAAAGGTACTAAAACAGGAAGATGTGGATCTAGGACCTTTACAGTCATTTTCCCAGACAAATAGGGGTCACTTCTGATGCTTGGGGAAGATGATCAATACAGTATGATGAGAGAGAGAGAGAGAGAGAGAGAGAGAGAGAGAGAGAGAGAGAGCCCCAATGGCACTGTTAGAATCTGAGGGCCTCAACTTAATTCCTTGGGTTTCCTAGTTTTGCCCCTTCCTCCTGCAAACTAGTTCATATGGTATTCTGTCCCTGGAATGCACAGATCCTAATGTATGCATTGCAGAGGAGGGTTAGTATGCTGACAATGAAAGGTAGTTTAAAATCAAAAGAGTGCTGATGTAACTGGTGTAACAATGCAGGATAGATTGTATTTTGTTCAGCATACATTCACTCCAGCCCTGCCACCTGTGGGAAGCATATTCCTTTTTGATCTTTTGAGACAGTGTCTTGCTATATAGTTCAGGCTGGTCTTGAACTCACTATGTAGCTCAGGCTGGCCTTGAACCCACAGTGACCCACCTGCCTCAGCCTCTCAAGTGCTAGGATTACACATACGTGCTATTACACTTGGCTGGGAAGCATATTCTTACCATATTTCCCCCAAAATAAGACCGGGTCTTATATTAATTTTTGCACCAAAAGGCACAATAGGGCTTCCTTTTAGGGAGTGTCTTATTTTGTAATGTACAACAATCTGCATTTATTCATGTATAGCAATCTACATTTATTAAAATATATTCATGTCATTTTGTGTGTGTGTGTGTGTGTGTGTGTGTGTGTGTGTGTGTGTGTGTGTGTTTGTGTTTCAGGGATTGAACTCAGGATCTTGCACTTGCGAGGCAGGCGTGGGGCCACTGAGCTAAATCTCTGTCTTTTGTGTCATCTTTCTGAAACATCGTCATAACTCTCCAAACCTCAAATTCCAGCCTAAATTTCCTGCAACTCCATTTCCTATGGAACCATTGGCCCCAATCTCTCATGTGTAGCAATAGAGCTGCCCTTAAATGCATACTTCTTGAGCATGTAGGCTGCTTGTAATGCACTGGCAAAACAGTTTTCAGTGATTTTATCCCACAATTTTTTCACCCAAGTCACAATCTCTTGCTCACAAAGTTTCCATTAAATCAAGGGTCAATTGAAGTCTTGTGAGAGAGGAGTGGCAACAAAAATGATGACAGTTAAGACTGATGGTCCACACAAAAATAACAAAAAATTGCAGGCCCCAAAATTCAGAAAATGTTTATTTCATGAGCACATTAGTATGCCTGTAACTGAACTGTGAAGATTCATTCAGTTACTTGTGTGTTGTGTCTGTACTCTGGTCATTGGCAAGAAATGTCAAGTTCACCTGTTTATGTAGGCATTTATCTCTGGTCCAAAGGTACCCACTTGGGTATTTACACATATTTAATTATACTTGATATCATTTAAGTATTAATTTCAATAATTACTTACACATATTACTTAATAATATTTTATAATTCAGTACATCCATTGTGTATTGCAGCAGACATACCAAATGGTGCTGTCTGGCTCACAATGTTCACTTGTTTTGGAGGTAGGGTTATATTATGACCATCCTGAGAAATCATATTAGAACTTATTTTCCAGTTAGGTCTTACTTTCACAGAAACGTGGTAACTCACTCCATTGATACTGATTTGTCTGTGTGATTTAATTTTAGCTCATGAAATTTGGTGGAAGTCATTGTGTCCTGGTTATAAGCAGAGGCAGTCTGCTGTCCTGCACTCCAGGCTTCTACTAGCACATTCCAGAGAGAAAACACTCCTTCAGTCTGGGCCCCCAGTGAGAAGACAGGTGGGCCATTATAGTCACCCAGTCACCTCTCAAATCTGTAGAACAAGAAATTCACTGAAGCTTAGGGGTTTATCTTATTAACACCTAATTAACCTATAAGGTAAGAGAAGCTTACAGTATAACCGCACCAAGAGCAGTCATTTATTATGAACAACTACTATATATGCCGGGCCCTATATTTGTGAGAAATACACATGGTTACCTTTCCTGTTTCCTGCTACCATATTAGTGGGAAGTAGGGGACAAGCAAGATCATAATTAGTGTGTACCATGGAAAGAATAGGCAAAAATAAGATTATTGTCTGAGTGAGGGAGCTATTGCTAGAGTTCTAGAAAGAGGGATAGTTTCATGGTCTAGGATACAGGACCAATTCTTGCTGCTCAGCTGAGGCTGAGAGGCTATTTATCAGACTTGCTCATGTAAAATGATCCCTAACATTACATAAGTCTCTAATAGATATGCCTAGCAGCTGAATCCTTTGGAGGGCTGCCATTTCATAAGCTGCACATGGCATTTTAGATTAGTTTGGAACTATAAAAAAATGGATAGATTTAATTAAATGTAATTACTTTTGTTATACATTTGGAATACCCTGAACATGAAAAGTCATCTCTGAGACTATCAGAGGCTGCTAGAGGATGCAGATGTTCCTGGAAGATGGTGGTATAGTCAAGAACTTATAATAAAAGATTAAAAACTTTTTATAAGGACCATTTTAACTAGACAAGTAGCCATAGTGTGATTTTCTTCCACAGCCCCTGCTGACTAGGCAGGTCAGGGCAGATAAGCTTTAGACCATGTTACCTAGAGCTTGCTGAATCAGAAATTGGCCCTAATGCCTTATTTAGCCTATGAGGGACACTGGTGCAATTCAGGGACACTGAACAGGGACAGATTGGGCAAATAATATTGTTATTCTTAGAAACTGAAATTTAAGCAGTAAGTGAAATGAGAAGGTGATGAGAGAGTAGGGAGTATATGAAAGGCAAAAAAGGATCTCAAATCTGGAGTTAGGCAC